GCTTTCAATTTGGTTGCGATGGCCTACAACCTAATAGCGATGGCCTCCAACCTACAGTGGTGGTGGCCTCCAACCTAGTAGCGATGGGCTCCAACCTATAGTGGCGGTGGCCTCCCCTCCAAATCAATGGCAGCCTCGGCAGGAGATGAAATCCATCGAGGCAGCCAACCTTAGCCAGAAGGCCGTGCCAAAGATTCGGACTGATTTTCATCAGCCCACCGCACATCCTGTGCGGATCTGATTTGGGCATCACGTTTACAAAGACTTCAAAACAAAATAAAAAAGAAACTCACGGCCTCATGATTGGGCTATGCCATGCCTGTGCTGAGGCTCTTTCCAGATCCATCGATCATCTTACGCTGATAAGTAGCCTAGCACATGCTACCACCAGACGAGGAACGACTCCAGACGATCGCTGTTTTTGCCTTTGGTGGCCATAAATTGGTGAAGTTATTGGCTGATATTAACTGACCTTTTGCAGAGCACATCAGGCCGTTCTGTCTCAATGTCATCATCCACCTTCGCCCATTGTTCTTACGTGTTCGAGAGTAACCCTTCATAAAGGAGTGGATCCAGTGGATCTAGTCTAAACTGAGAGGATCTACAACCATCAGTCAGATCTGTTTTGAGACTTGAAAGATTTGCTTGGTGCGACGTCATACCTCTGTGACCCCTTGTTTTAAAGTGAACAAACTATTTAAAGTGCTCAGCCATACCGCAAACGTTGTCTCTGCCGGGTGCCGCCATTTGTCCACTCCTCAACTCCCTGCGACCAGGCCAGGGTGAGGGCCCAGTTCGAGTGTGTCTCCAGCGCGGACGTGGTACCAAGATGACAACGAGGGAGAGGAGGAGGGTGTGAAGACAGTCTTTGTTAAAGCCCGCCCTTACTTATATAATTAAAGACGCCTACTTAGTTCAGCAAGCGAGTAAGCTCCCAGGTACTTAAGCTACTACACATGGACGCAGGATAGCTGATAGCTCACGCTTCTTTGAGGAAGCTCCCCCCACCTGAGGGCGGGGTGGAGCTTCCTTGAATAAGCTAGTCACTAATGATTTGGTTCCTAGATGTTTAGTGAATCTTAACTGACAGACATATCTCATCTTTCCCAAGCCTAATTACTTATCCGAATGTGGTAGGGTAAATAATGGCCATCATGGGGGATAGATACCAGTGTTTGTTCTACGAATGGAGAGTGAGACCGAACGTGTCATCACCAAGCACAGATATTGAACCAGTACTTACGAGGTGATGCTCACTACATAAAATTCAAATTAAAGCTTCTTGTTTCTACTAGCCAACATTGTTCCTAGTAGTAAGGCACTTGTTACTAGTAGCGATGCACTTGTTGCTAGTAGCGATCTTGCTACCTTCAGGTCGGATGCTTTTTCAACGAATGCTGGTGTTCACATGGTCGTAAGACAGAAGCAGAGGCTTCCTCACCTCAGGTAGTCAGGTACTTCAACAGTTCCTCATGAGCGTTTGACAGTTCCAAAATCATGCAGTATCCTGCTATTCATAGCTGATTATTGATCAACAGGCCAAACACTCAATGCCGTGTTCTCAACAATTCTTCGCGTGCCCGACACCATGCCTGCTTGCTTTACATGTAAGTTTGACCAGAAACAAAGGTGTTGGAATGTGTTGGTTGACGACTTTGAATGTTCTTCTGCTTTTGGAGCTTTGTTTTGTTTCGATCAGCCACGTGAAGTCTGCCGGGTTTGTGGAATAGTCATTTTTGGTCTCCTGATCACATTCCGTTGTGGAACCTAGCTGGAATGCGAGGGGTACCAGTGTACCAGTCTCAGGCTGTTTTCCTAGGGGTCCAGCGTGTTCACAGACCCTGAGCGGGACTGGCGACAGCCTAGGTGATCTCCCGCGATGCTTTTCGAGTTGCCCGGCTATGAAGTGGACCGAGATCGTAATCAGCTCGGTTGATTCAGTTGGTTCGACATGGTTCGACTGAGTGCTTCTGAGGCAGCAATTGCTGATTCAATGAACGCCTTTGACGAATTGGTGGTAATTCTGATTGGTCCAAGCAATTAGGAAAGGGAAAACACATTGGAGCCCAATTAGTAATTGTATGTAATTGCAATTTAATTGACCAAATGCAATCCTCAAGTTACTGTCACCCTCAGAAGTCCTTTTTTGGATCCAAACTATTTGGTTCCCCCCCCCCAGGCCAAGCAATGGCATGCAGTTTTGCAGAGACTGAAGTGAGAAAGGTTAAGGGGAGTGAAAAGAAAGAGAGAGAGAGAGAGAGCAGGGGGAGCAAAAGAGACCTACCTGTAGATTGTATGGCAGTCTTGATAAACCATAACTTTTAAAATGTACATCTCGCCAGCAGTTTGTCTACGATGAACATCCCAATACTATTGCTCATGATAAACTCATGGTTTTGCAGAAATTCCGAGTGGCTCGTGACAGATGTCGGATGCTATGTCACTCGTCATTTCTGTAACGCCGATGGTTCAGGTTTGGCTCACAGATCCGGACTTTCTTCGAGTCCTGGAAGGAGCGGACGTGGATATTCACAACAAGACCATGCCTCTCGAAAGCAAGAGCTGAGCAGTTTTAAGCGAGGAACCCACCCAGTAAAGCAGAGAAATTTTGTTGTGAAGGTGATAGGGATGGGGAATGGGGATGGTGAAAGTATTACCCGACACGAGAAAGGTATTTTGGATTGCCACAGACATCATTTGGGGTGCTGGGCAGGGCATGGCTGACAACGGCCAGTTTTCTACTTTGCATGTCCAATCTTGTTCATGTGTGAGTGTGCTTGTGTTTGTGATGTGATTGAACTCCGTGTTGGCTGAACCATTATGTTTTGCGTGTTTTCCCGATCATCATCATCATCATCATCATCATCATCATCATCATCATCATCAT